GATCACCAGAAGAACAAAATAAAATACACTTCTGAAAACACACACATACACCCAAAGAACAATTACCAATAGGATAAGCTATAGCTTGCACAAATGTCTGTTGGTAATCAGTCTCAGCCTTAATGTCCTGTAAAATGCCTTTACCTAGAAGACAAAATCCACATGTTGGGAACATTCCTCTCAGAATTCATGTAAATAGTGGGGAAGTATGGTCATAGTCTCAAGTGATTAAAAATATAAATAAATCTCAGGAGGCCAGGCAATCATAGGAACAGTAACAATAAGAAAATCATGCTCAATGCAATGACAGTTTCAGTGGAAAACCTTTTGATTGGAGATAGTCAAATACCCAAACCTTCACAAATAATTATGCAGAAGGCACAAGAGTGATACAAAAGACTGCCTGAGATGGGCAAACTGACTATGAAAAATTGAAGAACCTAGCATTTGAGAAATTCTACTTCAGACCATGGATTGAGATGCATAAAGAATATGAAAAAGAATGACTCTTGGGGCATCCAAAATGGCTAACAAGAGAAATTTAAAAGACTTTATGGCAAATGACAGCTACTACATTCTTGGATTGCTATCAGAAAATATTCTAAGTGAGCCAGAAATTCTTGAATGGCTAAGAGCTCAGCCCAGAAGTAGAATTGGTTGGAGGTCCATAATCTCATACAGGAAGAACTTTCAACTTGGAAATAATCTTACAGAAGGACCATTCACTAGAAAAAATTCTATGTGGATGGTTTATTATAACATACAAAAATTAGAATAATGAAACTAGGATGAAAAACAAAACTACAATGAGTTGTTAACATCTAGGAGAATGCAAGTTAACACAATAAAGGGCAAGACTCAAATAAGTGAGAGAGACAGCTGAAGGGTAAGTAACTCTGTCAAATATGTACCAAAAACAGGCTTCAAACTGTTCAAAAATTAGTTATACATATCAGCAGACATCCAGCATGCATACAAATGTCACAGTGCTATTTCTCCTTCTACTGCCTATCAAAGTTTGTGATATTATCCCTCTTGAGAAAGACGGAAGCCGAAATACCAACTGAAGAGGATCAACTTTCAATGATGCATTAGGATTCAAATGTACAATGTCAAACTTTAACAAACTGAAGACAAAAGCATAAAACTGTCTTAGCTGAATGAAATAAGGTACACAAGAAGCAAAAACAGTAAAAATAACAGTTAGAATTCATAGGTTATTAGATGGGGTTTTAGCACCAAAGAAGCTACAGATATTAAGAGTATAGTGTGTTGAAAACTCACTGTTACCTGACCTTATAGAAAATTGCAATTCTTATGGAGATACAATATAGTGGGCATAATCCACTAATGTTTTGTTTACATATGAAAAATTTCAGAGCAATTTCAGTGTTACTAATAACTATGAATACATGAGATGCTAAAAGGATATAGCATAATACAACACCCTTGGTAAAACTACATTTAAAAATGCATGTAACTTTATACCTACAGCTTGACTCTTACAGACAACTAAATGTAAAGAGGTAGTTTTACAGTTCTTTGTAAATTTAGCTGTGCAAGACTAGAAAGTTATAGGTAATATATGATATTTATAATTGTCATTTGCTCATCACAGTGAACTTATTTTTATACAGGATTTGAGGAGTATGAAGCATTGATGCTACTAATGTAATTTGATTATTCCCCATCTCAGTTGTTTAATATACTAAAAGTAAATATGAAGCCTATTCTAACATCTGATACAACACTTGTCATGAATTATACTAGTTTTGGGGAATTACACTTCTCATCAGTAAGTCTGGACAAAATGTAAATCAAATAAAAAAGACCAGACTTCTTTAGTGGAGTGTTTTTAGTTGTCTTTTACTAACCACAGTGAATACATATTTAAACAAGATTTGAAGAACATATAACCCTTTGATAGATTATTTAGGAAGAGTATTTATGATGAAACTTTGCAGAATGGACGGCAACTGCCTGTTGTAGAGACAGTGTAGAGAATGATGTTTCAAAAATCTTCCACCTTTCATCTCTAGGTCAGTTTGTGTAAGGTATTGTCGATCTTTATAGCATTCTGGTGAATTGTGGAGAGCGTGTTATAATTGGTTGGTTCATCCTTGTTTCTGATTGGAGGAGAGATTTCCTGAAGATTCAACCAATGGTAGCCATAGATTACTCACCTCTAATCCGGAATCTCTGTTTAGTGAAGGTTTGTGTTAATATAAAACAATTCTTTAATTTTTCTGTCTTCCAAAATTTGTCTGTGTTGATGATTCTAGTTTTTTCCCAGTTTATTTTGTGTCCAATTGACATGGCATGTTCTGCAGTGGCTGAATTTTGTGTTTCCATGAGTCTTGTACTGTTTTTATGTTATTTTATTCTTGTCACAGTCTTCTTCCTGTTTCCCCAACGCATGTTTCATTGCAGGAACACGGAATTTCATAATTGACTTTTTTTGTGTTTCTCACTGGTAGGTTGCTGTTTGTTTTTTACAAGAATGGACCTTAATGTCTTGTAGGATTGTTGAATTTCTTGGCTATGAATTTGAGTTTTTCACTGAAATTGTGCAGGTAGGAGAGGTAAATGATAGTAGTGGTAGTGTTTTTCTGATCTTTCTGTTGTGGTCTTCTTCAAGGAGTTTTTGATGAAGGAGGAGGTGTAACTTTCTGTTTAAAACCTTCTACTATCTTTTGGTATTCTGTTTCAATGGATGTCTTATCATAAATGTTTTCTGTTCTCTTGTTTAGGCATTGGATTATACCACATTTTATCAAGGTTGAAAGATAGGACTGGAAGTGTAGATATCTGTTCGTGTGGGTGGGTTTTATGTAAAACAGTTGTGGTGATTTTTCTCTCTTTTCTGCTCATGAGTAGGTCAAGAAATGGTAGGCTGTTTTGCTCCATGATGAAGTGGATTCTTTTGTTTACAGAATTAAGATGTACTAAGAAGGCTGGTAAATGTTCATGACCATGGGACCAAATAACAAAGGTGTCGTCAACATAACGTTTATAGAAACTTGGTTTTATAGGTATGGATGAGAGGGCTCTTTCTTCAAAGTCTTCCACGAAAATGTCTGCTAGGATTAGAGAGAGTAGTGATACCACGGCTTGACCATCTGTTTGTTCATAGAATTTCTCATTGTATTGGGAATAAGTTGATTGTAGGCAAATAGTTGTTAGTTCCATGATGGCATCTATCTTCATGTCAGTTCTGTGTGATAGAGAGTTGTCATTCAGCAATCGTTGTCTGATGACGTGAAGGGTTTCTGAGGTTGAAACATTGGTAAATAGGTCTGTGATGTCAAAACTGACCAGAATATCCTGAGATCTGATATGCAGCATTCTGAGTTTTGAATGTGATGTTCAGTGTTCCTCATAGTGGAGATAAGATAGGTACTAGTAAGATAGCTAGTTGATGGCAAGGTGAGTTTATAGCACTGACAATAGGCCTTAAAGGTATGTTAGGTTTGTGTACCTCAGGTGGGAAGTTTTCGTTGGTTCTTAAGTCTTTGGCTAGCTTCTCGTTGATTTAGTTTTGTTTCTTAAGTTTGTTCAGTGTTCTGTTGATGAGTCTCTCTGTCTTTTCTGTAGGGTCATTGGTGTTTGTCTAGTATCTTCTTGATCTTCATGTCATAATCTTTGACGTCTAGGATGACTATACTGTTTTCTTTGTCTGTTGGTAGAATCTTGATATTGTTGTCTCGTTTTAGACGGTTCATTGTGCTGTATTCTTGTTTAGTGATATTCGATTTTGGTTTCTTGGCATTCCTGAGAATGGTGTAAGTTTGATGTATCAGTTGTTCAGCCATAGGTTTTGGGTGGTTTTGTGCAGCAGATTCTAAAGTTGCAGCTATGTCAACAGTTGGACTGTGCTAGATTGTATGGTGAAATTTAGACCTAGGTTGAGAATCATATTTTCTGTATCACTTAGTAATCTTGAACTGTAAATGTGAACTATGTTTGTGGTCGTAGGATTATCTGTCTTGGTAAAAAATCGTTTTATATTAATATAATTAAATCTTCACTAAACAGAGATTCCGGATTAGAGGTAAGTAACCTGTGGCTACCATTGGTTGAATCTACAGGAAATCTATCCTTCAATCAGAAACAGGGATACACCAACCAATCATAACACACTCTCCACAATTCACCAGAATAATATAAAGACCGACAACACCTTACACAAACTGACCTGTAGGCGGAAGACTTTTGAAATGTCTTCCTCTACACTTGTGTCTCTACAACAGGCAGTAGCCATCCATTCTTCAATGTTTCAGTAGCTTAGCTGTTTAAGGCACTAAAGATAAGTATCAAGCTCAATCTATTAGTTTCTCTGCCATAAGTGTCACATTTTTCTATTCAGCCATGATCATAAAAGTGTATTATAATTCAAATTGGTCAGCATATGTGTGGGTTAAATTTGCAGGTTATCAAGTCACTACATCTGTACACTTCAATTTCCAAGTGTACTTAAAAACTTAATTCTCATTATACATATTAACAAATTAAATAAACATATACAAAAGGACATTGAGGATAACAGAATGCAGAGGCTATAAAAAGTTGAAAATAGTACCCAGTTTTAATTAAGACACTGAAAGAAAAAACTTACACAAACACATATCAATGGACTAGATATTACAATTATCACAAATACCCACAATATATATTTAAACATGTTCACAGACATGCACACACACATCATGGAAGCATCAAAATTAATGATTATTAAAAAAAAAGACTAATCTATCTATTCAACTATGAAGGATGAGTTGCCAAAAGTAAAAAAGTCTGGCTTAATGTGATGTGGAGTAGCATGTATTATTTCATTTCTTAAGGAAATATAAAACACAGCATTAGTAAGCCCAAGATATTATACAAAAGTCAAAATTCTCTGATTACTGATTGTTTTCCACTTATTCATGAGTAATGAATAGCCTTAAGGTAATTTTGAATACTGTATCAATATTTACTCCTCTATATTACTTGTTCAATACCTGCTTTCTTCCTGCTTGGCAAATTCTCTTGTTCTGGAAGCCTCAAAGGTCTATAATTAGGTTGAATTTCAGGAAGTGTTGACAGGACATCAACTTTATCCAAGGGAGTAAGTTGAGGCTATCGGAATCAATAAACCATTTTCTACATAAGCATGTTAACTACAGAGTAAAGTTTAAAAGGTACTGTAAGTCACTAACAAGGACAAGTTATTAACAAAACAAAATTGATAGAACTAGTGAGACTTTATATAGTGTGACACGTGACCACTGCTGAAGTAATAATGTTATATTTACGTAAAAAATAAAAAAATAATTAAAATCACAGCATCTTAACATGCACTTTATATCTAAGAAAAAAGTAAAATTATAGATCAAGTAATAATATGAAAAATAATTATACTGATAAAGTGAAAGAAAACAAAAATTTAGTATCCTCATAAAAGTGAGTAAATTTAAAAGGATGTTAATGTACTTGTATATACAATCCTTCATGTTTGAAACATGCATGAAGGCTATTAGCAGGCTGATGCCATATCTCAATTTTTTGTTTACAAAATTGGACTGTAAAAGTTAATTTGTATTGACTGAATTGTGATATTCTTCTATCAACAAAACATTTTTCCTGGCTAAACTGAGACATATTCACAGAATGCTATTGAGATAGAAGGACCTCCTACTAATATGGTATTCCTTGCAGACTCATGTCATGCAGAAAGTAGTTCATCAAAGACAAGTTAGGTCATGATCCAAGTTGCTAAAACTATTCTGGTTAGTGTGAAATGGCTAATAACCAGATGTACTTCTAAAGGGTCCCTGAAAGTGTTGTTTCAAGAGTAAATAAAACCAAAGTTAAGAGAAACAAATATTTTTATTTTTTGCTTTTAAGTTTATATGCCATGCTGTGTTGTAGCCTACAGAGTGCATAATTCTTCTTGCGATTCATGGCATGTACATGTTTGACTGATGTCACGACAGTACAAATTGCAACATCAAGCATTCCTTCTGTGACATCATTTTAGTGTCTACTGACTGACTGACTGACAAACAACACACTACTGTATAGCATTGCAAGTGATTAAAACAGGTGACCCCTCCAGGCAGCCTTCGGATCCCTTTCAAGAAAATGAATATCCAATTTTGTAATTTAAACTTTAAAATATTGACTCAGTTTCTCAGTTACAAATGTTTGATCTCTATGTACAACAATATATTTCTAAAATGTACTATTATGTACATAACATCACTAGTCTAGGCCAAATAAAATTAAACTATTGGAGTCACAACAGTCAAAAGGGTCACACAAAGTTATTTGTGATATTGTCTGTGTATACAAACAACAGCTGTTGTTGAGAAATAATAAGATCTGAATTTAAAGGTATTTACTTCCTAGTAAGAATAAAATGACCAGTGGTTTGTCCAAAACAATAAGTGTAATGACAAAGTTGACAGTAGTGGCTGTAACAAACCCTTGCAAAACTAATTCTACAGGCACTTTTGAGCATCAGTGTGATGGTGCCTATCAAACATAGAGGACCATATATACATTTGCAGTAATTTTCTGAATACATTCTCAAATATAAAAAACATTATAATCTTCATGAATAAATAATAAATCTGCCTTATTAGCAAAAATAATACACACCTAGACTTTTGAAAAACTGCACTCACAGTAACCCTTTGATGACAAGAATGTTAGTGTTCGTATAATCTATAATTGTGCATTTGCTATGGTGTTTACTATTTTTGTAATCGCAGCCAGTAAATAAATGTCAAAATGTTAGAGTATCTATAAAATTGCTAAAAGCGAGTTTGCTTTAGTGCTTGCTATTTTTGCAAATAAATGTTCTCAAAAACCATTTATAGCCAGTGTTCATTAGTCATGGCCCTCTACAACAGCTTTGCTACAATGGGGTACATGTACTTTGTCCTGAAACATTTCCATCCTGTGCATAATAAAGATGCCAGTTTTTATATTATAAAACCAATTTAAAATACACCATGAAATCCAAGCCTATCACAAAAAAGTTGCAATGGTTGTTTACAGTCAAGTATTGACAATTAAGTGCAGTGCTCAAAGAAGACAAGGCCATTTTGGTTTCATATGGTCAATTTATAAATACCCTTGACAACTCGTGACAGAAATCCTCTTAACTCTCTCATTATGGGTTCAGTCAATTCAACCTGTCACATGACCCCAAATTGACCTTCAGAGTTTCTATACGATAACTTTTAGTACATGTTTTGGATTTTCATGAAATTTAAGCTTTTAGTAAACATCACAAGTCTTTTGTAGACAAAAAATCCAACACTCCTGGATGTGGAAGGAAGGTTTGAGCAACAACTTTAGGAATACATTTACTAACATTGAGCAAGTGGAGTCAAAGTCAGCACCATGGAAATTTGTTTGTAACCTTTCATATCAGAAAAGGTTTGGATACCAGTAGCACTTTTAAAGTCTCTCCAAATTGGTGCAACCTCTTCATGAGACAGTTCTCATTTATGTCGTAGAAACAGTGAGAATTAATAAGTATGTATTATCATTCACAATGTGTATTGGAAAAGATGCTCTTGACTGGCTATAAAAAAACCCATTTAGAATTGTTATCATATATTATGTACACTCTAACTTTCAGATAAATCTTTACTGATAAAAAATGCATATTATGGAAAATTACTGTAGTAGATGAGCATACCTCTAAGGTATATATATATATACATCACAATTCAAATTAATACAAAACAATTGGTGTTTTTATACATTCATATTCTAATTAGAAAAATTATTTTTATAATATTCTATACTTCAGTAGTAAAAACTTCTAAAAGATTCAAACATATTTTCTCTGTTTATTTACATTTTTTGCCAACCAACCTAAATACAAAAGATCTTCAAAGAATACAACTTTGTGAACTGTAAACAAGTAATATTCCTAAAAGAATACATTTTGTATAGATCTACCTGAAAACAAATTATACTTGTAATTGAAAACATTACCTAATTAAGATACTCCCACAAATAGAAAACTTTCAGTCACAGATTCTCAAATATTTTCATGAAGCAAACTGAAAAAATGAAGAAATAATAGATGTTTTGACCTGTTTAGGGTGCCACAAAAAGAAGTGAACATAACTTAAAGAATTTGTCAGTTTGCAGTATACTGAGAAGACAGGTTCTGTGTTTTTTCTGGTTATCAGAAGATCCAAGAAAATAAGTTGGTTACACTTTTCCCATTCACCTTTAAATTTGATAGTTGGGTGAAGTTGATTAAGGTTGTTGAAAACATTTTCAAAATCACTTCTTTTGTTTAGTGACACAGAAAATATATCATCAACATATTGGAACCACAGAATTTTTGAAAGGTTTATATTGATGGAAAGGACTAATTCACTTTAAAAATATTCCATGAAAAGATTGTACAGTATTGGTGACAGTGGATTTCCCTTGGCCATTTCATATGTTTGTCTAAAATACTGACCAAGACAGGTAAATACATTGTTGCTTACATAGATTTCCATAAGAGAGATAAAAGTGTCAATGGGAACAGGCAAAGCTATGTTCAGTTCAGGTAATTTTCTTTTAAGAAATTCTATGGTTTCTTTAAGTGGTATGTTGGTAAATAAAGCTTCATAGTCAAAACTTAACATTTTTCCTTTACTTAAGTCAGTGTTTTTAATTTTGTTCACAAAATATAAAATGTTTTGGATGTTCAACAATGAGATTTTTCCAACAACAGGGAATAGATGTCCTGCTAACCATTTAGATAAAGGGTATGTGACAGGACCCACGATAGAAATTATAGGTCTCAGGAGACAGTCTTCTTTATGTGTTTTAGGCAAACCATACATGTAAGGTGAGGAAGGATTAATACGCTTTAACATTTTAAAAATATCTGGGTAATTAGCAAGAATTGTACGTAGTTGTCTGTTAAAGTCAGACACCTTCTTATCTGAATGGTTCTATAGGAACAGGATAAAGTTATCATATAGTTCATCTGTTTCTGATTGTTTACACTTCTATTACAAATTTTTCCTTTATTTTGTAAGAATGTTTGAAATGATTGTTGTTACTGCTAACAACATAAATAAAACTTTGCCAGCCATGGTCATTGACCTCTCAAAAAATAATATTTAAAAAAAATCATCATTATTCCCATCTTGTATCAGATACATAAATGAAAACTTTCTATTTTAGCCCATTTTATATTAGTTTCCAGGGAAATTCAAAATTAAATAAAATTCTGAAAATTTTTTTTCAACTTAAGCATAATTATAAACATAGTGAATCCAAATATGCAGAGCATTTCCTTTCAACAGTTGTCATAATAAGTAGCCTATATGATCATCTTTACTTAACTACTATTTACTAGTTGAAACAAATGGTAATTCCACCCTTTTACTTCCAGAAAGAACATATATTTAGGCACAATCAAGTAAATCTTTTTATATTTTCATAAAATTGCTCAGGATGTAAATAACTAGCATCCTAATAAACAGGAAGTAGAAAAGTTATAAGTGTACCAATCCTCTAGCAGGCCTCAACAAATATTTTCAGATCTAAAAGCCAGTTGTGCCTAACCTAACTTCACTACTGTTTGTACCAGGAAATGGGGGGCTACATAAGTGCCTTGATTATCCGCGCTTTCATTATCTGCGATCCTCGAGTATCGGTAGTTTTTTATTTTCCTCAAATTTTCTCAAAATAATTGTGCCATTACAATTATAAACAATAATTTACATGTTTTGGAGAAATTTTCACTCAGAAATTAATTTTTGTTGCAAAAGTGTGGGTGTTGCATGATCTTCATTCAAATCGTAAGTCAGCTGGTTCAAGTCTAGCCTTGCCTCTTTTACTTTTAGCTGTTAAGACAAGAATACAAAATATATGTAGCTTGCTTAACTTTATTTGATTAGTGATTAAAAACATTGTATACAAAAACACACAAAATATATGTTAAGATTTCTTAAAGATCTCACTCAACTTCACTTATTGTCTGCTGTTCTATGCTGCATGGCGGGCATCCTTTAACCACAGATGCATATTCAGGTCATGTTGGGGTGTTGCCCAGTTATGCATTGTCCTCATCTCTACAGATAATTGGTATCTTCAGTCTGTTTTAA